AGATCTCACAACTGAAAAAAGTTTTTGGTAGCACTGGTTCGAGTTTATCGTAAGATCCAAAAGACCTACGAGTACCAAGCTGAGATAGTTTTAATCCTTCTAGTTGGTTGGTAAAAGCATTTCATTCATAAGATTAAACCTTGACAAGTTTGAAGAGGAAAAATAAGACCATGGTGTTATTATTTAGTTGGCGCTTCCTAGCTCCAGCTCGTGATTCTCTGAGTAAAGGAAACCTAGTTAATGCGAAAAATCGGTTAAGAAGTTCTTCCCCTTTGCAAACCATGGATTAGCAAACCTAAAGTTTGATCATAAAAGCAGTAAAAGCGATGGGGTCCAAACAAAGTTAGTCTTAAAAAGTTCTAAAGATCCTTGGGTTAACGAAGAGTGGCTTTAAGAGGCAAACTGAGATAATTTAAACTCTCGCTTATTAACAATAGAATTCTAGGATCACGTGGTAATGAGCATAAGTCTCTAGGTGACTTGAGGGTAATCGGATCGTGATCCAACAAACTTGGAAGCAAATTTTCGAGATGACTTACAACGGGCAGATTGTCCTGAGTTGGCAAACTGAGATGGTTAATCTCCTGATGATTAGCATGAGCATTCACCGATTAAGTGACCGAAAACACAGGATTCGACTCAGACCCTCATAAGATAAGGGACCTGCTAGTAGAGTTAGTTGGTCTACTTTCCTCCAGCCTGCCCGAAAGCTCTCGGGGACGAGGTAGGCCAGGCTAACGACTATGAACTATTGCGGGGTTCCTCCTCGGGTAAACTCAGTAGCTATAGCTTGAGGCATGGATTAAACCAAGAGACGTATTAGCAAGAAGATCGAAAAGAAAATTTGAACTAAGCAGTCGGGAGTAATCGGGTAATCCCTTACGATGGGTAATGAAACGTTTTGAATAGCATACTGGGATGATCGAATCTCTTACTGATTATTGATTTTACATTCATAAGCCTCGTGCTTAATAAGCGCGAGGTTTAATCTAAATAGCGTGAGGGTGACGAGGTCGCAAACCAGAAAGACTTGGCAGTACGAATTCAAGCTATCCTATATGTAGTCCCTATAAAGAAAAAAGAATAAGTTAGTGATGCAAGCGCTAGTCGCCCTCACTTCCTGTTTGCTCCTGATTTTCTGAAAGAAAATAAGCTAAACTAGTTTAAAAGACTGGTTAATGAAATCATCTGCTTCGTAAGCCACATGTTTAGTAGTCGTGAGAGCTAATCAAGTGGGGTGAACGCCGGCTAAGTTAGCTGGAGATTCAAGAGGTTTTTTAAAATAACAAAAATTGGTTTTGAAATACATAATGAGATGGTTCGATCTCCTACTTAAAGTTCGGGTTACTTAAATGATAATCGAAAGATAATCCATAATGGTATAAAAGTATCAAGTGCGTATGTCCAGGTGAGGCTTAGTATTAGGGATATGAGTTTATCCTAACATCTACTTAGATCAACTTGAGATATCGAACGAGGTAATAAAAGGCTCCTGTTGGTTAGCGCAAACAATCACAAGCCCTGAAGTACAGAAAGCGTGTTTCAACTATGGTGAAGAAAAATGACGAAATCTTAGTTCCAACTAGGTTAGCTTTAAAAATCCGTGACGTTCTGAGCCAGTTAGTTCTCCTGCTTCCTAAAGCAGGTACTCGTAAACTAGCCTCAAATGCCTTATAGTGAACGAGATCACGGGTTCCAACAATATAATTGAAGAGTTCAAAAGGTTCATCATGTGACCTTCTCCGAAAAACGTGAAAGCTGAAGGTGAACGAGACCAAGGATTCCAGCAATATAACTGAAGAGTTCGAAAGTTCATCCTGTTACTACCTCAAAGGGACACTGGTTCAGACTGCAGTGAAGAAAAGTAACGAGATCTTAACTCTAAGGAGACTAGCATTAAGAATTCCAGAAAGCTTGAAAGCAGCAATAGATGAATCAGATCTTTGAGCGACGTACTTAGCTAGTTTAGTTCCCGTGCTTCCTTAAGTAGGTACTAGTTGCTGTTGTTTTTTGTCTCTCTCTCCTTTTTTTTTTTTTTTTTACGTAAGACTAGCCCTTAATGCCATATCGTGAACGAGGTGACGGATTCCAACAATAAAACTGAGGAGTTTGAAAAGTTCATCCTGGCACTACCTAAGCGGAAAAAACACGAAGCTGAAGGTGAACAGGAACATAGATTCTCACAATATATCCGAAGAGTTCGAAAAGTTCCTTGTGACATTGCCTCAAAGAAACGCATGCTTAGACTTAGGTGAAGAAAAGGATGATGAAATCCTAATTCCGACGAGCTTAGTGATTTAAAATTTCAGAAAGTCTGAAAGCAGCAAAAGATTAACTTCGAGCGACATACTGAGCCGTTTAGCTCATATGATTCCTCAAGCAGGTACTAGTTATTGATGGTTTTTTTTTTTTTAACAGTATATATAAGACTAGCCTCAAATGTCGTATAGTGAACGAGATTACAGGTTCTAGCTATACAACAGAAGAGTTCGAAAAGATCGAAAAGCGCAGGACATCGAAGGGTAGATAGAGGGGCAGTGAGCAGGGGGGAGGGGGAAGGGAGAGGGGAAGTGAGAGGAAAGTGGGTAGGAAAGAAGAGGGAGGGAGAGGGAAAGAGAGGGTGAGAGAGGAAGAGAGAGAGAGAGGAAGAGAGTGAGAGATCAAGGGGGGAGGAGGGAGAGAGGGAGGGGAGTGGGACATACTTGCGATCTCTTGGGAATCGACCAAAAGGCTGAAATGATAACAGGTGGCTTTGGTGGTTTGAGGTCACTGGAACTTTTGTCAGTGTTCCATGCCTTCAGTTGACAAGAGCATGGTTTATAACCTGGTCCGAAGGTTCTATCCAGGAGGGGGTGGATATGGCAGTCACTAGCACACTCTGCGCAAGGTCCTCCCTCGGCTAACCAGGTTGCTATGAGATCTTCAAAACACACTTTCTCCCATCCTACTTCCCCAGTTCTCCTCCTCCATTCCAGAAGCCAGTTGGCTGATCGCGATCCACTAGCTACTGCTCTGTTGAGAGCCATAGCTCCTCTATTCTATTACTAGCAGCTTGACGGTTCTATTGTTGAAGCTACGAAGCTGGGAGGAGTAATCCGACAGAGTATAAAGTTATGAAAGGTCAATAACTGCTAAGGGTTGAATGATGATATGGAAAGGTAGCCAACACCTGTGGGGCGATGGTGGAAGACGGTCGCGAGGCGTGCTAGTAGCATTGGCGCTAGACTACCTTCTCTTCTGCCTGCTCATGGTTCCCGAGTGAAATAAGCCAGGCTATCTCAAGTGGTCGGTAGCGTGTTGCATTTACCAGGATCCCGAATGAGCTTAGACCGTATGATGGCTAACGTAGGACGAGACTGTCGTAAGTAAAAGTGCTGTAAAGTCTTCTTGTTCAAGGTTGAGGAAGAGGACGGGTAGTTTACTCACAACAGTCAGTAAAGCTATGGGAGAAAAGAGATTACCTTAATGACGGAACTCTTACTTACACCCAGATTTTTGCGCTGTCAAAATGCGAAAGCTGAAGCGGAAGGTCTTACACGTCTGTTGCGTCTCTCTGCAGAGCTGGAGCTTCGAGCGGTGGCGCCAGGTAGCGTAAAAATCCGAACGTCGAAATAGCACCCGAGGCGAATGGAGCTTGCCAAGAAATACTCCCGAGCCTGGAAGGGCCGGTTACTGCTGCTAGAAGCCCAGTGAGTTACCGGGACCCCATGTGGCCAAATTTTGGCCCCTCAAGGCCTACCCCCTTTTGCTGCTCTGGAGAAGTGCCGGTAGGACCTCACCAGCTGAATGGGGTAAGCCTCCTTGCTGGTCGTCCGGCAAGGGCACCATACCACAGCGTGGAGGCTACAGTTGCTGCTGGCGCATCCCACGGTGCTGCTACTTTGGAATCCTTGCATCCAATTGGCGGAGAGGGAATTCAAATCAGCCTTCCTGCTGGAGCTGCTGCTCAAGACCAGGGGTAAGTGTCCGACTTAGCCTTGCCAGCTGCAGCTAATTCTTTAAGCCCAACCAATTCAATTACCTGCCGAATCTGGACAGGACGGCCTTTCAGGCCTTTTTCATTGTCATTTTATTTCAGGCCTTTTTTATTGTCATTATAGGTATTACGGGGAACCCCATAGCAGCCACATCCGTGCTCAAGCCTTTCAGGCCTTTTTCATTGTCATTATATTTCAGGCCTTTTTTATTGTCATTATAGGTATTACGGGGAACCCCATAGCAGCCACATCCGTGGCTGAGGGAACATACGGGAGTTGCACCCACCAGCAGCCACATCCGGCCAGGGGTCAGCCGGTAGCATCACTGTGCCTCCCCTCCGGTCCCCTCCCCCTATGAACACCAGCAGTCTCTGCTCAATGCCACTCGGGGGGACCAACGGCATATCTCTAGGTGGCTGGGGCCAACCTTGCCCAGGAAGGTACATGAGGCCAATGGGAATTGAACCCAAGACCTCCTGAATGCGACTTGCGTGCCTTATCAACTGAGCTAGGCCGCTGGATAGCTAAGATTTGCCGCTCGCCGGTGCCATGATAAAAAAACCGCAGTTTCCGCTGAGGTGGTGACAGCCCATCTGGGGCCAATCGAAAAAAGGAAGCCACGCCTTCTGTAAATCGAGAAATGGTCCAAACCGTGTCCGAAAACAAGTCCGGACTCCAGAATAGGAAACAGTTCGTCCGACCGCGGATTCTGAAACTGAAAAAAAAAAGAAACTGATACAGGGCGAAGATACAGCTAACCGTGTCCGCGAACCAAGGAGAGAGAACTGTGCTGGGTGGAGCAGGAGGCGGAGGAGGGCGGAGGAGGGAGGAGGGAGGAGCCGGGGAGAGAGCGGACAGAATCGCTCCCAGGGACGAAGAGCTGCAGAGCTGCAGAGCCCCAGCAGACCCAGCACCAGCAGAACTGAAGGGAACAACGAGGGATGGTTTTAGACTTTTAGTATAAATTTTCATCCTGTCATTCAGTTGCTGTTTGTGGGCCAGAGACCAGCGAGATCAGAGGCAGGCTTGTGCTCGTCCATACGACATAATCACTCACTCGCCCCGGCCATTCATGGCAGTGAGGGTAGGGCGCGAGAGGGGAGGCGCTGAGCGAGCGTGAGCGAATACTATTACGTGGCCTTCGTTTGTATCTCCATCCGTATTGCGAACGGTAGTATTGAAGTGGATTACTCGTGCACAGATTTGATCTGATACTTCTGAACGACAACGGCGATCTATTTTTAGATCGACGTCCTGTTCAAAGCTGCGAAGCTCGGTGCGCTTGTCCTGATCTCCGCTTCTCCATCACAGTTGCCCGGCTCTTCGTGACCAGTGCGGGATTGTGTGTCTCTTCACTTCAATCATCTCAAAAACAGACGCACAGAGAGAGAGAGAGAGAGAGAGAGAGAGAGAGAGAGAGAGAGAGAGAGAGAGAGAGAGAGAGAGAGAGGATGGCGTGCAGCAATGCAGTAGGCGGGGGCTCGGTGAGTGTCGGGTTGCGATCGGTGTCCTTAGACAATTGCCTGAAAGCAGGGAAGACGATGGAGATGGGAACGACGGCAGCGATGGCGACTCCGTCCTGCGCGTTGTCCATCCGTGCATCTCCGAATGCAGCGATGACGTCAACAGCAACGTCTCCCTCCCGTGAGCGCGGGGGATGCGAGCTCCTACTCCAGGGTAACTGGAGTGGGAAAGGAGAAGGATCGTGGGGCTTGATGCGGAGTAGTAGTAGTCGTCAGCATCGCTTCCATGACCGTAAACAGACCGATCAGAAGAAAGGCTTGTGGAGAATGGAGATGGCGTCGGATCCTCTTAACAACTGCAGAGATTCGTTCGGCAACGAATGCGCCGTTGAGAAAAGAGCGAGAAAGGTAATCACACTCATCCAACCTCTCTACCTCTCTCTCTCTCTCTCTCTCTCTCTCTCTCTCTCTCTCTCTCTCTCTCT